ACGAAATATATAATAACGTTTCATAACTCGTTTCCGTTGTTTTCAAAATTACACATATAGCACACACATTGCAATCTCTCAGGCGGAGAGAGAAAGAGGGAGGCTCGCTCGCTCGCAGAGAGACGCAGCCTGTGCGATGACGTACGGGTTAGATCATACAAGACTCGTGGGTAAGTTTATAAAGTTGCAAACCCAGTCTCCAACCTTCCCCTAACATCCTTCGGAGGTTTGTAACAACTTTATTCCACACACCACCCCAGCGAATCGACGTACATGCCTCTTTATACGGAATAATACCACCAGTCACTACAGATGAGCTCCTGCACGCTATCTGCAGAATTGGTAATATAAAGGGTGGTATGAATAGAAGTAAGCAATTACTCTTCGCCCCGAGTTTCGGAGATGCGTCTCGCTTTCGTATGAATAAGGTGGGTGAGCAATTGCTGTCTCTGAGTACTTGCTCCATCTCTGAGCGTACTCTCAACTAGGGAGCAAATACTAGGAATTGGTATGACGTTAAGCTTTTACTCCCTAGATTGAACACTTGCTCCAAAATTTCGGAAAGACCTTAGTAGCAGACACGTTTGAAAAGTAACGTTCAATCGGCCATTTTTTTTACAGTGTGTAGATGTGCAGATGCAGCGGACTAAACAAAATTTCAACGTAAGGCGAAATTCTCGTGATGAAGCTTTTAGAATCATTACTGATTCAAGTGGTGACGATTTTCGGACTTTGAAACGTTTGAGACAGCGAGCGGCGACGACAGAGACAGACAGACAGACAGACAGCGAGCGCGCGACCGACAGACAGACAGACAGACAGCAGCGAGCGCGCGACCGGACGACAGACAGACAGACAGAACCAGCGACGCGCGCGACGCGACAGACGAAGAAACCGACAGACAGCGAGCGCGCGAACCGACAGACAGACAGACAGACAGACAGACAGCGAGCGCGGCGACACCGACACGACAGACAGACAACAGACAGACCAGACAGCGAGCGCGCGACCGACAGACAGACAGACAGATCAGACAGACAGCGCGACGCGCGACGCGACAGACAGACAGACAGACAGAGAGCGCGCGACCGACGACAAGACAGACAGACAGCGAGCGCGCGACCGACGACAGACAGACAGACAGCGAGCGCGCGACCGAACCGACAGACAGACAGACAGCGAGCGCGCGACCGACAGACGACAACAGACAGACAGCGCAGCGCGCGACCGACACGACAGACAGACAGACAGCGAGCGCGCGACGACGACAGGACAGACAGACAGCGAGCGCGCGACCGAGACAGACACGACAGACACGACAGACAGCGAGCGCGCGAAGCCGACGAACAGACAGACAGACAGCGAGCGCGCGCGACGACGACAGACAGACAGACAGCGAGCGCGCGACGCGACAGAGCGCAGACAGACAGACAGACGGACAGCAGCGACGACGCGACGACGACAGCAGACAGGACAGACAGCGAGCGCGCGACCACCGACAGACAGACGAGGACACGACAGACAGACAGCGAGGCGCGCGACGCGACAGAACAGAGCAGACAGCCAGTCGAGCTGCGCGGAGCCTGT